GGTACAGAGTTAAAAAAAACGGCCTCCTACAGGGAAGTGTTTTAGTACCAATGCTCTTCAATATATACACAAACCATCAACCTACTCCGACCGAAACCAAGCACTTCCTGTATGCTGACGATCTTGCAATATGTGCTCAAGGAAATAGTTTTGAAGAAGTGGAGGAGAAACTCGAAACTGCATTAAAAACAATGACAGCGTACTACCTGCAGAATTCCCTGAGACTCAATCGCTCTAAAACGCAAGTCTGCGCTTTCCACCTTCGCGCAAAGGAAGCCAAGCGAAAACTGCAAATTGTATGAAATGGTAATACATTAGAACACACAAACCAACCTACAAACTATATATATATCTTGGAGTAACTCTGAACAGGTCCCTCAACTACAGACAACATTGCATAAAAACGAGAGGGAAAGTAACAACTAGGAACAGCATACTCATAAAGCTAACGGGAAGTAAATGGGGCGCATGTCCTGGCGTTTTAAGAACAACGGCACAGGCACTGTGTTTCTCCACTGCTGAATATGCGTGCCCCGTTTGGGGCAGATCTGTACATACCAAACAAGTTGATACTGCGCTAAATAAAACATGCAGGATAATAACGGGGTGCATGAAACCAAACGCCATCTTCAAATCTATATAAAGCAGCGTATTTCACAGAACCCTCAACACGCAGAAGCGTTGCAGAGCACATAGAGAAAATTAAACAGATCCCGGACGAGCGGCATGCCCTATACAAAGCTCGAACACCACGAAAGCGACTAAAATCTAGGAAAAGCTTCCTTGGAACAGTGCAGGATAAACCGCCTGAGTTTTTTCCTCTTCCTCAGGTTCAATGGACCGGCCAGTCCCTAAACTTTAAAACGTAGAAAACTATGAATAGGTTTGCAATAAAATCAAACATGGTAAAATGGGGAAAAATAGATCAAGATCATGTGAACTGTAACTGTGGAGAAACACAGAGTATGGAACATCTTCTTACATACAGAAACTGTCGTCATCGATGTACCCTTGGAGATTTGTGGCTCGCCAATAAATATGGAACCGACGACGTACCCCGATACTGGGCCGAAATTTTATGAATGACATGTCCGGACACGATAAAGTAAAGTAAGTCCAATTTAACTGTTGATCAAATATAACTTCTCTAAATTTTATTTCGTTTGTATAGAAAAGATTTTGGTTTTCAAGCATTAGATTCGGTTTATTCTCGATGTCTTTTTAAAAATATTATACATTTTGTTTTATTATAGCAAAACGTGAAACCGGTATAATCCGACAAGCGAGAGCTGGCGGGTGACCTGCTCGAAAATAGAAAAGGAATTATTATAAGAGAGATAGGAGAGGTACTTAATCGCGATTATAGGTATATAGTATAGGTACTTAAACGGTTATACACGATGTACACGATGTACATGACTTAAACGGTGAACACTTTTCAATTTCTTCTACGCGCAACCCGCCAGCTCTCGCTTGTCGGGTTATACTTGGGGACCAATTGACTAGTTTATTTAAGTATTCTTGTTATATTGACGCCATACGATTAACGTTCTTGTCTTTGATGTAATGACTTCATTCCATCGAATGCTTCCTTCTTTATGAGCCATAGAAATATATCCAAGTTGTATCCATAGTAATAACAAAGCTTACAAAGTATTAATATTTTCTAAACCGAACATAGATCGAACAAGATGCTTCTCCTCTTACTCGCTTTTGGTAAACATTCTGACGTTTGAAGATCCATTTTGCAAAACTGTTTCTCTTGTGTCTAAATCGAGTGAATAATGTAGGGGAGAGGCGGGAACAGTGACACACAGGGAACAGTGACACATTTAAAATCCTAGTAGAAAATATGTTAGCAAGTTGGTGATATTGTGGAATTTTACAGTTGGTATAATAAGAATACTACTTGTCTTATAAAAAGTTGACAGAATCTGTTGTGTTTGGAGAAAATCGCATGTTTGTGTTTTGTTAGTGCAGAAGTATTTTGTCAAGGGTGTTTTTAGTTGTTTACTACGAGGAAACAAACCTGAATTATTGGATTGTGTTCTGGATAGTAAAAAAGTCGTATAAAATGTAAGTAATAGCAATAAAATTTCTTTAAAATCTTTGCAGATTAACAAAAAATTTACAAATTTTTGTATAAAACAGCATTGTGGGTACAGTGACACGAATATTGATAGGGAACAGTGACACGATGTGTCACTGTACCCTTCTTGTGAATTTCATAAAATCTTGACAGCAAATGAGTGCTGGAAAATCATATTAGGGTCTAAGAAGCTTTTGTTAATTATGAATTTACATTACAGATGGTACGTCAGAAGAAAACGGATAAGACAGTGGGTAGATTCAATGAAGATTCTATGAGGGAAGCAGTCAATCTAGTTATCAGTGGTATATCAATTCGTCAAGCTGCTAGAGAGAAAAACTTAAGCTTTAAAACCGTAAGCAGATACGTAAAGAAATACAGAGATGATCCCGAATGCCGAATGGCTCCTAACTATAAAATAAACCAAATATTTTCTTTGGAACTAGAGGAAGCTCTCGTTGATTATATCATAACGTGTTCAAAAATGTTTTACAGTTTAACAATTACTGATTGTCGCAAACTTTCATATGACTTAGCGAAAGCAAATAAATTAAAAATTCCAAAAAATTGGGAGGAGGAAAAAAAAGCTTCAGTCGACTGGTATAAAGGATTTCGCCATAGACATCGTACAATATCCTTAAGAACTCCAGAGGGATGTAGTCTAGCAAGAGCAGCAGGATTCAATAAAGAAAATGTAAACTTATTTTTTAATAAGTTGGAAATAGTTTTGCAGCGACATCCAAATTTTTCAAATGGATTCAGAATTTACAATTTAGACGAAACCGGAACTTTGACAGTTCAAAACAATTCGACAAAGGTGCTAGCCAAAAAAGGCACTAGACAAGTGTCTAAAATTCAAAGCAGTGAAAGAGGTACACTTGTTACCACATGCTGCATTGTAAGTGCAAATGGAAGTGCAATCCCACCCGTAATGGTATTTCCGAGAGTCCATTTTAAAAGCCATATGTTGGCAGGAGCGCCATGTGGGACGTTAGGCTTGGCTACGAAAGCAGGATGGATGAACACAGAATGTTTTATTGAAGTTTTAAAACATTTCATTAAACATACTTGTAGTTCAAAAGCTAACCCTTCACTATTAATCATGGACAACCATGAGAGCCATATATCTCTTGAAGCTATCATTCTGTGCAAAGATAATGGGGTCACTGTTTTGACTGTGCCTTCTCATTGCACCCATCGGTTGCAACCATTAGATGTGGGTCTGCTAAAACCGTTTCATATATTTTACAACGATGCTTTAAGTTCGTGGGAAAAAGCTAATCCGGGCACACCTGTGACAATCTACCATGTAGCATCATTTGTGGGACTCGCTTACCCCAGATCTATGACACCTGTAAATATATCGGCAGCTTTTAAAAAAACTGGAATATTTCCCTTTGACCGTCACGTATTTAATGATGATGATTATTTCGCAGGCCAAGTTACAGAACGACCATTAGTTAATTCACCAAATATTGATCCAAAACCATCTACCTCGACAGGAGGTACCACAGATAACTCTATCAAGAACCAGGACGTAACTCCATTACAGAAATTGTCACCTTCATCCACAAGTGGAAGAAAATTGACATTTGTAAGTCCATCAGCTATTCGTGAATATCCAAAAAAAAGTCTGACAATTTCGGTTAAAACTAGAAGAAAAAAAGGCAAGACTATGATTGCTACTGACACTCCAGAGAAAAACGAAATTGAAAGTAATAGAGCCAAAAAAGCGAAAACATTTAAAAGAAGCATAATCTCAGAAGACATTAAAAACAATGATGATGTTATTGAGTCGGAAGACGAAGATGGTAAAACTTATAGTCTCCATAATTCTGACACGTCAGAGGGAAGTGAAATATTTTCAGATAGTGATGATGAAGACCTATGTGATTTGACATTAGATCCAGCCAAAATTTGCGACATTAAGATCAATGATTTCTTATTAGTGAGACTCAAATATGAAGCCCATTCCAATAAAGAAATCGAAAAATATTATATTGGGAAAGTTGTGGTGATAAACACCATTGGTACGATGGAAGTCAGTTTTTTACGTAAAAATTCAAAAAATGTCACATGCTTTGTGTTTCCATGTGTCACAGACATTGGTGTTATATTCAACAACCAGATTATAAAAATTTTGGACCATCCAAAAATTAGCAGGGGTCGACACTTTTTTCCTAATGTTAAAACGGACTTGATTTCATAGAAAACAACAAGCATTTATAATATTTTTCTATAGATCAATAATAAAGATACGTTTTTATTGTTTAATTAGTCCTAAATAATAATACTTACATATTACAGTTGAAAAATGTCTTTGTGTCAGTGTACCCTTCATACCAGGGAACACTGACACAATGCAAAGTTTCAGACTTTTTTTTAAATCTATTTGTTTTCTTAATTTATAGCAATGTAGTCATTCATGATGTATTTGCAACACAATAACACGTCCAAATTGATATTTGCAAGTAAAATCCTATTAATGGTCTAGCGATGACAGAAATTCAAATTTTTCTGTGTCACTGTACCCACCTCTCCCCTACTCCATTATGTAATAACAGAGAAAAAACTATGTGTCTAGTGAAATTTACCAAAGTAATAATTCGATTCTGTTATTGAAGAAAACAAAAAATTACAAAGTATTTAATTTTGGGTAACTAGAATAACACACACATATATATATATATATATATATATATATATATATATATATATAATATTTAAATAAATTTACAGAACTTAAGGGTATATAAACATTAATTTATTAAATAGTTAAACAACTATATTATCCATATTAAATTTCACGTTCGAGGAAAAAGCTGTTTTGACTTTATTATTTTGTTTGTACGACACGAATGCTGTCACGTCACAATACATTAGGATTTCCTTAATTAAGAGAAATCCGTCTTTATGCTAGTACGAAATTGAATTTTGTAAATATTAATGCAGTTATTAACACAAACATTCTTCCTCGAACGACTGATGACGTTCCATATAAAACCAGCGGCTGGAATAAAGCTTTGTCTTCCTTGTATGTCGTCCAACCAACGACTCTTTCATCGCGATTCTGTTCCCTGAGCCAGAGTATAAGAGGTTGGAAATAATTTAGCATTGCATCTGCAGTTATTTTGTCCGTTTCCCCTCGTGTCAGGATTTTCATGACTTCTCTCCAATGTTTAGATCTGCCAACTCTCATCACTTCCCTGCAACAATTATATAATATGTTAAATATTACAGAAGTGTAGAAATTTATGTTGTAAGTTAATTAAACATAATTTCAGTGTATTTTAAATTTATATAAGTATATGGGATTAAGTCACAATTAATTAAAATTAAAATTACATTTTTAACTAGGTAACTAAAGTTTGACGTTTCGATTTCCATTCCGGAAAGGGTTTTTAAAAGAGACTTTTTTTAAAAATTGAGGGAAATATAATGTTAAAACCAACAAGTTGTTGGTAGATTATGATAACTTTAATAATTTAAAAATTCTGGGAAATATATGATCTATGTTTTGAATTATGTTGAATCCATTGAAGTAAGTAGAAAGGCAGTATCTGCAATGGTTATTAAATTACAGCATATATCATGAGCAGTAGTGTACCAGTCAAGAATTACTGCTTTTATTCTTAGCTTGTAGATACTACCGATTTGCTTGGCATTGGCTCCCAGCTGTTTTAGGTTACTGCCCTCCTATAGTGAGTTTATTCTTATTGACAGTTGAGGTTATGTTTACAAAGTGTTTTAAGTAATATTTCATTGTCAATTTTATATCATTGAAAATTAAAATGAGTAAAAGTTTTGTTTCTGCAAGAAGTAAAAGTATTTTTCAGTTAGGACTGGCACAAAGTATTGAGTCATGTAAAAATAGTAAAAGATTAACAGAAGCTAACAAACAGGTAGGATCAAATAATGTTTTTCTATGTGACAATGAATTGCAAATTTATAACGATGATGACCAGTTACTAAATAGTATGGAGGTAGAAGTTATTTCTACATGGGCAGAAACAATGTGAATGAAAAAGAAATGACAACTACCACTAAATCTCTTCACTTGAAATGACAGAAACTTCTTTGGTCCTGGAGCAGCTACAACAACTAATAAATTCTGCAAATTTCGATGAAATCCTGCCAGCCGAGAATACTATTATTCTTGAGTTCAACGATGATTCAGATATTAGATATGATGACAAATTGTTAGATATTAATGGAATAGCTGATACCAGCCCAACCGAACCAATTTCTTTGAACAATACTAGCTTAAATCCATCTTTATTGCCAAAAAACGGTAATAGCAATTGTGTTGAACCTTGAAGCACTACACTGTGAAGGTGCAACGTACGATGAAGAGAGAATTTACGCTGTTGAACGCAAAAACCTAAAATTAAAGGATCAGAAATCTCTTACCGTTCAGCCTCCTTGTACTGAATGTAAATTTAAGTGTACAACGAAAATTAATGAAGAACAATGAATAATTATCAATGAGTCCTTTTGGAATATTGAAGATTTAGAAGAAGAGAGGAGCTTTATTTTTAATCAATGAGAAAGGTATTCTGTTAAAAGGCTAACTACTAACAGTAAAAACATTAGAAGTAACCAAACAGTAACATACTTTTTAACAAATTTAAGTGGCCAAATAGAAAAAGTTTGCAAAACATTTTTTTTAACCACTTTAGGTTTTAATAAAAAACTGATACATTTTTGGCCACAATATTTTCTACAGATAAGAATGCAATAACACCCAAAAATAACATGAGCGGCAAACAACCGTCAGTGAATAAGGGTCCTCACCAAGCTACAATCTATCACATTGAGGCCTTTCATCGTGATGTACCACACTACAGAAGAGAACATGCTCAATGCTCACAAAACTAGATATTTATCAAATGGTTTGAATATTAAAGTTATGCACGGAGACTTCATCATCAAACACCTAAAATTTAAGTCAGATGTTTCATAAGAACTGTACAGACGTATCTTGAAAGAACAGAGAATTTCATTTGCAAGACTAGGCAGAAATCAAAGTCAGAATCGAAAAAAGCACGTTCTAATTTTATAAAAATGAAAAAGGTCCTATGTGGCAAAGATCTAACATTAGCTCTTAAAGTACGCCTAACAAAATGTTACGTATACAGTGTACTATATTATGGAGTGGAATCATGGACGTTAAATCTAGATACCATGAGACGACTTAACGCCTTTGAAATGTGGACCTATAGAAGAATTATGAGGGTTTCCTGGGTAGATAGAGTTACAAACAATGAAATACTGAGAAGAATAGGCAAAGAGAAGGAAATTGAACTTACAATTAAAGAAAGAAAGCTACAGTATCTCGGACATGTGATGCGGGGCGATAAGTATGGCATCCTGCGACTCATAATGCAAGGAAAAATAGATGGCAGAAGAAGCATCGGAAGAAGACGAATTTCATGGCTAAAGAACCTGAGAGAATGGTTTGGATGCAGCTCAAAACAACTATTTAGAGCTACTGCCTCAAAAATTAAGATAGTTATGATGATTGCCAACCTCCGTAGCGGAGATGGCACCTGAAGAAGAAGAAGACTAGGCAATGAGGAGTGAGAGGTTTGTGAAAACTTTAATTTACACAACCATAATAAGGATAATTTGTTTAAAGACTGTAATACTTGGAAAATTCATGACTAACTAGTCAAAGAGAGCAGAACATTATATAAAGAATTTGCAGAAAAAGTTAACGAAAAAACAAAAACAATGAAGTTATATTTAGTGCAGATTTAGAAAAGATAATTAAGCAACCTCAACTTGAAATGTTCAAGAAAATCATCTTTGCACCACGCCTTACAACATACAATTCGACATTTGCCCCTGTCGGGAAAAAGTCTAAGCTTAAACCACTAGTACTTCTGTGGCACTGTGCTATGTCTGGCAGAAATGAAGAAGATATTACAAGTACTTTTAATGTATTTTTCAACGATTACCGTGATAATAAAAAGTTTGCGTTGTGGTTAGACAAATTGTAGTGCACAGAATAAAAATTGGTGCTTACTAACAACGTTTATTAAAATAGTAAACTCAATTGCAGTTGAAGCTACTGAAATTCAAGTTTACTACTTCGAGCCTGGCCACACCTTTATTAGTGCTGATAGTCTTCAGCACCTATCACTATCACTAAACTATCACTAAAAGCACAGAAAAAAACTTACCATTGTAATGATTTTGTTGATGCAGATGTAGTTAATGCTTTTGTTAATTTTACATTGGTAAAAAAAGAGCAGTAACTTGTAGATACTGCCTTCTTGCTTGGCATTTTTTAAGTCAAAAAATAAGTAATTCATATTTAAAGAGGAAAAGACAGTTATTTGACCAGACCAGAATTTGGTTTCGAAAATTAGTTTACGGATTTTAAGTGATATTTCTTATTAAAAACTGATTTATTGCAGTGATTTTATTATTTTAAAGTAAAGCTAGTACCACGCATGACAATACAAAAAAAAATATATAAGGAAATTAATCCATTTTTAAGTATATAATAATACAATTTGAAACTTAACTTCCATTTATCTTACAACAGCTGTTTTGTAGATACTGCCATTTTTCTTAGCAGGGCAGTATAATAGTATAACTTGAAAGATCTTTTGTCTATATTTATATCTATGTTTGTGGTTTCAACTAGGCTTTATCGCCTGATGTCCAGTATCTTTTGAGTATAGATCTGGCCTCAACAGGTACTTCAAATTTTTTTTACTGCGCATATCATAATCGCTCCCTCGAACTTTTTTGTCCTTATGAAGTTTTATTGTGATATTTCTGACTACTTTTCAGTTGTGCCTCTTTATCTTTGGATATGTATATCGTAACGATATACATATCCATGGCTTCTAAATGACTGAGGCTATTTTTTTATACAACGAGAAAGTGATTGTTATCTCTGGCAGACCTGAGTACCAGGGGCTGCCAAGTTAAATGAAACCAAGGCAAAAATATAAGCCTTCCTTAGGGTGCGGACATACCGAAGATATATAGATGTGTGCGGTGGACGTCGCGGTCGATACATCGATGTCAAAACAAACCTTCATTTTCTTATAAGATCGCACATTCCAATGGTGTATCACCCGTTCACCCTCGCGACATATCATCGTGGTTTATAGCGATGGTGATTATCGCGTAATAAATTACAAGTTTATTGGTGGTTTTAAAACCACGTAACATTCGCCGGAGGTACGGATGGTATGATAAATATACTGAAATGTATCCAGACTCATTCTCATATAAGCATAAAATCTGTCAAAGTGGTGTGTCTTAAGCTCTTTAAATAGGTGGTGGTATTCTACTAGATAGTGCCTTTTTTATTTATAGGACGATCCGAAAACTGGCGATATAAAGAATTACAAATAATCCTTTCACTTGAAGACATGCATTCACTGTCGTCACTACTGTTGCTAATGTACATAATTTTATAATGTAAAAAAAACTACCTTTTCCGGAACACATGTAAGTCACTCAGAAACTCATGTAAGTCACTCAAAAATTTAGCTTCATATCGGTCGCGTTTACCTACGACCTACATTACGACCGAGCTTAATGTGTCCCTCCACCACTGGTAAGTAAGTTGCCTTTAATTAAATTGAATTATAGGTATACAAAAATAGGTAAAGGTAAGGTCAAAAATAGGTAAAATATTACAAAATTTATAAAACTCACATTAAAACCCTTCCAGCCTCTCTAGATCTGTAAACATCACATGTATGTAACGGTCCTACATGCCTACCCGCCCTGCACATAGCTTCATATATTTGAAATTCTAATAACAAAGCCACGAAATATTTCATATAAGGTAAATCTGCTGGGACGTGTCGTTTGGTTCCCGCGTCGAAATGGGCCTCCGATCTTGGTACTGGGGGTATAATTCCTTGATACCTTAATCTCAGATCCCACCAATCTGCATTCATTCGATTTACACCGAGTTCTGCAATCTGGTAGCGCCACTAAAATAAAAATTTATCAATATAAGGTTGAATGTTTGAATAATTGAACTTTGATGGTATACAAGGCAAATATCGAACACAGTAATTAATTAAATCTTGCTCAAGTACTTTCGATCAATAGATCATCCTCAGGGACATCTGAAATAAGCCAAGAATTTTTTTTTTAAAAAAAGGAAAATTAATTCACTTCTATAAAAACTCGAAGTTTATGGTTGAAAAAGTTTTTATGTGATAAACGTTTATAGACTTACTTCGTCAGTTGTGGCCTATCCGACATGAGCAGAATGTCATACATGTAAATTTGGACATAACAATACAATACACAAAGACAAACAAACACTTTAAAATTTAAAAAAATGGAGAAGCTACATGTTATATAGAAGCCGGAGACAGAATGGCTCCTGGTCTCGCGGAAATATTGAGATGACATGTGATAAATGACAGCTTGTAAAGGGCAGTTACAATAGATATGTGATCTGCACCTTTCAAAATTCTATGAAACTAAGTATTGACCAAAGGTCCAACGGAGACCACTATAGGAAATCAACTGATGAAATATAAAATTATATAGTATATTTTTTTATGTAGATTGAATAATCCAAATCTCACACTCAAACCTGTCTATAATAATTAGGGTGTTAGTTTGAGATCAATTGAACTAACATTCTAATTATTATAGACAGGTTTGAGTGTGAGATTTGGATTATTCAATCTACATAAAAAAATATACTATATAATTTTATATTTCGTCAGTTGATTTCCTATAGTGGTCTCAGTTGGAATTTTGGTCAATACTTAGTTTCATAGAATTTTGAAAGGTGCAGATCACATATCTATTGTAACTACCCTTTACAAGCTGTCATTTATCACATGTCATCTCAATATTTCCGCGAGACCAGGAGCCATTCTGTCTCCGGCTTCTATATAACATGTAGCTTCTCCATTTTTAAAAATTTTAAAGTGTTTGTTTGTCTTTGTGTATTGTATTGTTATGTCCAAATTTACATGTATGACATTCTGCTCATGTCGGATAGGCCACAACTGACGAAGTAAGTCTATAAACGTTTATCACATAAAAACTTTTTTCAACCATAAACTTCGAGTTTTTTATCGAAGTGAATTAATTTTCCTTTTTTATAAAAGAACGTTTCTTGGCTTATTTCAGATGCCCCTGAGGATGATATATTGATCGAAAGTACTTGGCAAGATTTAATTAATTACTGTGTTCGACATTGGCCTTGTATACCATCAAAGTTAAAATAAAAATTATTATAAACTTTGCTGTTCAATTGACTGCAGTATTGCTGCAATTTTGCTGTCGCATAATTAGTAAAAGCAAAGCAATAAAAAAGTTAGAAAAAGTGGGAATGGACATTACGGCAATACAAGAACTAAGGTGATTAGACACGGGAAACATAAAAATAGACAAGGCGGTCATTTTCTACAGTGGAAACCCGGCAGGAAAACACGAATTTTGCACAGGTTTCGTAGTACGAGAAGAATACCTGAACAGCAATATAAGTATTATAAGAACAAAAAAGGCGATATTACTAAATTAGAAAATTATAGACCCATCAGCCTCTTGACACATATGTACAAACTTTTGATGAAACTCTTAACAAAAAGGCTAACACCTAAACTTGATTTCTATCAGTCCAAAGAACACTCAGGCTTCAGGGCAGAATATGGCACAAATGACTATTTGCATACCAAAAAGATCTTAATAAAAAAGTGCATCGAGTACAACATACCACTGGTTCTTGCATTTGTCGATTACGAGAATGCTTTTGATTCTGTAGAGTTTGAAATAATACTGAAAGCCCTAAATCAAAGCCGAATAGATTACAGGTACCCGACACTAATCAAAAACATCTACGAGAACGCTACATCAAGTATACGACTACATGAAAACACAGAAAAATTTAGCTTAGGGCGAAGAGTTAAACAAGGAGACAATATTTCACCAAAATTGTTCACGGCAGCTCTAGAGTCAATATTTAAGAGCACTCAATGGCAAGATATGGGCATCAATATAGATTGAGAAAGATTAAATCACCTAAGGTTTGCAGATGATGTTGTATTAATCGCAGATAACTTACATGATACAGTTTCTATGATGCATTCGCTTAAAAGTCTGTCTGAAAGAGCAGGATTGAAGATAAGCTTTGAGAAAACTAAGCTTATAACAAATCTCGTAATGAGTGGAAATATAACTATTGACAATAATACCATACAACAAAGAGACACTTACAAATATCTGGGGCTTGAAATTAAAATAAACAGAGACAATCAAACACATGAAATACAGAGGCGAATAGGCCTAACATGGACAGCAATTTGGCAAATTAAGCCATATTCTAAAAAGTTCAATTCCCATGTGTCTCAAGCGAAAGGTTTATAACCAATGTGTTTTGCCTGTTCAAACTTATAGAGCAGAGACTTTAACACTCACGCAAAAATCTGCGAATAAACTCAGAGTTACACAATGAGCCATGGAACGTGCAATGCTGAACGTGAGCCTTCGAGACCACATAACAAACCAACAAATCAGGCAAAGATCAGGAGTTCAAGACGTCATCGAAAGAACCACGACGCTTAAGTGGAACTGGGCAGGGCACTTAGCCAGAACACAAGATGGACGGTGGATAAGACGTATTATGGAATGGAGGCCCAGAAACTGCAAAAGAAGCCGAGGACGACCAACGCACCGACTAGATGGACCGATGATATAAAACGTGTAGCGGGAAACTGGCTACAAGCGGCCCAGTGTAGAGAACACTGTGAAGAACTGAGGGAGGCCTATGTCCAGCAGTGGACGCGATTGGCTGTTTAACGATGATATTGATGATTATAAGTTTCACGCCCATTAGTGAAAGACTTTGTTATATTAGACTGAAAGGAAAATGGTACAAATATCTCAATTATATCCGCACATGCTCCGATAGAATATAAAGACGAACATATTAAAGATTACTTCTATGAATAACTCGAAAGAACGCTTGAGAGAATCCCCAAACAAGACATGTAGATAATCTGTGGAGACTTCAACGCAAAAATTGGCAAAGAACCTAACCTAAGACTGACAATAGGACAAGACAGCCTCCACGATATCTCAAACGACAATGGACAAAAACTTCTTCTTGATGTGCCTATCCGTTACGAATGTTGG